TCCTCATTTACTGGTAATAGTTTGCTGGATTGATGCAAGGAAAGGAGGCCCGAGGGTGGACTATGATGAGGCTCTGGAAGTGCAAATAATGTTTTCAGAGAGCAGCGTGGAGGGCAGACAAGATCTTAAAGGCACTTAGCTAATGCAAGAGTCGGCGTGTCTTCTGGACCTGAGCAACTTCTCACCGTCACCTTGGCCAGAGGAGTTCCACCTGCCAAGACACATTGATGCTGGCAAACTCCGTGGGACCCTGTGGGTTTGAGAAGTTGATGCCCATTTATTGTGTGGTTTTGCCTCTTAAGTCTCTTCATCTGTAGCAACCCTCAACCCCCTTGGTTTCAGGTCATTGATCTGCTGGAAGAGCAGGGCCGATTGCTCTGCAGAACATCCCACGTTCTGGCTTTGCTTTCTCTTGGCGTGACCGAACTCATTCCTGTAGTCTCTGAACCTCTTGTGAAGTGTTAGGTAGAGCTAGATACGAATTAGATTGAGGTGGAACTGGATACTTGCTGTCACTTCACAGGCACATGCTTTCTGGTTGTCCCACTTCTAGTGACTAAGACTGAGCCGTGGGTGCAGGGGGTTCTCAGTGCGATTCCTCCACTCATCTTCACCGAATGGTTTTAACACCCACTGAGGGTCATGGCCTAGACCCATGGTCGGCAAACTGTGGCTCGCGAGCCACATGCGGCTCTTTGGCCCCTTGAGTGTGGCTCTTCCTAAGCCTTAGGAGTACCCTAATTAAGTTAATAACAATGTACTACCTATATAGTTTAAGTTTAAAAAATTTGGCTCTCAAAAGAAATTTCAATCATTGTACTGTTGATATTTGGCTCTGTTGACTAATGAGTTTGCTGACCACTGGCCTAGACCCATCATTTCATTGCAAAATGGTGGTTTTTCTAATTGTGCCATTTATTCTGCATGAGCCAGCTGGAATCTATATATATAAAAGGCTGATATGCCAAGTATCGCTATGATGCGCACTGACCACCAGGAGGCAGACGCTCAACACAGGAGCTGCAGAGCTGCAGTAACTTGGCAGCGACGGTTCTGGGTGACGCACCCCGAAACCAGAGAGGAGGGAGCCCGATTCATCGTGTGGGCCCCGTGATTCCACCTTCGGCCATGGGTTATGTTGTTGCTGGGGCACTGTTGGCCCCGAATCTGGTTTACTGCACACTTGTGTTTGCATTCCACACCCTGTACAACAGCAACTTGGCAGAGTGAGTTCCCTCTCACACTCCAGGACCCCTCAGAGGATGTCAGAGAGCCAGTTTTGGCCCAGTCCCCACAGCCCAGGCTGAGGGACCCCACCTGCCAGTGTAACCCCGCTCTTTCCGCAGATGCCAGGAAGGGACCACGGGAGGTTGGCTCCAGAGCATGTCCGGCCTATCTTGCCCAGTCCCGCCCCACCGGCCACCTTCTAATTAATTTCCTTTCAATGTGCACAAATCCGTGCACTGGGTCACTAGTTCTTCTATGAAGAAGACCTTTTTCTTTACTTCATCAGCTCCTTGGTGGCTCTCAAATACAGTTTGTACAGGAAGGGCAAGGTAGTGCTTAGATAATGATCCTTTTATTGATCCACCTTCAGAGTGATGACCTGGTACCCTGTCACCTTCCAGTACTGACCAATGAATTTTGTTTTTTCTTGAATATTATTGTTAACTAGAGGCCTGGTGCATGAAATTCGGGCACTGGAGGGGGGAAAGTCCCTCAGCCTGGCCTGCACCCTCTCATATTCTGGGAGCCCTAAGGGGATGTACAACAGATGGACATCCTTAGTGCTTCCATGGAGGCGGGAGAGGCTCCCACCAGTGCCGCTGCGCTCGCCAGCCGTGAGCCCGGCTCAGGGCTTCTGGCTGAGTGGCGCTCCCCCTGTGGGAGCGCACTAACCACCAGGGGGCAGCTCCTGTGTTGAATGTCTGCCCCCAGGTGGTCAGTGTGTGTCATAGCGACTGGTCGTTCTGCCATTCAGTCAATTTGCATATTAGCCTTTTATTATATAGGATAACTTGTATTTCACCAAAGTATAGTTGCAATATATATGCTCAGTTATTCCAGCAGTTATATATGTGAGTAAAAAGGATAAAAAACCCATTGGTTGCTGTGCCAACTTTTATGTTTTCTTTTAAACAACATTGGCCCTTAACTTGAGGATAAAACTCTTCAGAGGCATATGACCCTTGGGGGTCATTATTATTAAGGCATGGATTTTTACATATTTGATTTGCTTTAGCCCATGACAACCTTTATTTATCTTTATGTCCCATGGGAGTGTCTTCAAATGAACTACTGGGGTTTTTTTTATGTTTTATTTAATTTTTTTAGAAAGAGAGGCAAGGAGAGAGAGAGAGAAACATTGATCGGTTGCCTCCTGTTTGCACCTCAACCAGGGATCAAACCCGCAACATGGGTGTATGCCCTGACCGGACACGGAACTGGCAACCTTTCAGCGCACAGGATAGTGGTCAGCCAACTGAGCCACACCGGCCAGGGCAGCTCCTGGGTGCTTTTACCACAGGCCCATTTGTTTTGAAAGCTTCTTTGCTTTCTTGCACAGCGAGAAATCTCAGGGTAGTTCGCACATTTCCTACCCTCGACCTGTAATCAGCCATTTCTTCACAGGGCTCTAGTTCCTTTTAGTGCGGATGGCTTTAGGAGACCACAGGCTGGTTGCCAGGGGTGATGATTGCTAGGTAGTCGCCTATCCTTGCTTTTAGACCCTTTCCAGCACATATACCTAGGAAAGATGCTTTATTTTTTTAAGAGAAAAAAATAAATTATTAATTTACTGATATTTCCAGTTTAAATGTAGTAAGATAAATATTTTACTTTTTGGATTTTTTATTTGAATTTATTTTTCTCTTATACTGGATATCTTGGTTCATAATGATATTAACAAAATTATTTCTTTCCTTCATCGTACAATATACTTATAATAACTTTATTACTCTCCTTTCAGAACAGTGGTTGTTATATACTGTAAAGATTGTTCTGTACTGTGTTTTTAAATCAGTGTTGTTACTAATAAGACTACGTAGTGCAATTTGATATCTTTGTGGGTTTTGTTCTTAGAATTTGTCCTATGACAGATGTAGAGTCAAAAGTCACCTGGAAGTGGAGTTAAAGTCACTCAAAATCACTTTTCTCTGTGTGGATGTGCCAATAACCTGATATAAAATTTTGCTTGTTTCAGGTTGTTGTCTAGTTTTAGAGATTGTTTTATTTCCTTCTTTGTTTGATTTTGTCTTTTAAGTATGTAAAACATTTACATAGTTTCAAAGGCAAAATTGTACCTATAGGTACCTTGTCACCCTGTCTCCCATCTTGTTCCTTCCCCCAACGAAAATCATTTTTATTAATTTGTTACTTATCCTTTTGTGGGGTTTTTGTTGTTTTGTTTTGTTTTGGGGGGGTTAATCCTCACCTGAGGATATTTTTCCATTGATTTTTAGGGAGAGTGGAAGAGATAGGGAAAGACAGAGAGAAATATCGATGTGAGAGAAACACAGCGATTGGTTGCCTCCTGGGCCCGGGCGAGGGAGGAGCCTGCAATCGAGGTATGTGCCCTTGACCAGAATCAAAGCCGGGACCCTTCAGTCTGCAGGCCCATGCCCTATCCACTGAGCCAAACCAGCGAGGGCTTTGTCCTTTTGCTTTTAAAAATATAAGCAAACATGCACACAGGTTCACATATGTCCATATACATCCAGGCCCCTTTCCCACGCTGAGCTAACACCGTAAGTGCTGTTCTGCTCTGTGTTTTATTTCCCTTAGTGTAGACTGGTGCTGCCCGTGTTCAGTTTACAGAGATCCTCCTCCCCCGCTGCTCAGCGGCAGGTCTGCAGCGTGTCATGGTTACCTCCTGAGGGACACTTGGGTTGCTTCCGGTCTTCCGCTTCCATAAATGCTGCTGTAGTGAATGGCCTTGTGTTTCCGCCAGTGTATCTTTGTGGAGTGGTGCAGCGATCATGGTTACAAAGGGTGTGGCCCAGCTGCCCACGGGAGGAGGGGAGCCAGGTGTGCCTGTGAACTCTGTGGCAAGGGCCGCCGTTGGTGGGAGGGCCGCTTGGTGCTTGCACTTGGCCCTTGGCCCTCCCAGAAATGTGAGGACACACCCTTCGGGGAGCCGTGGGTTCCCCCCTGGCGAATTCACTATTGCAGACTGGAGGACAGGGCCACACCTAAGAGTCCCGATGGCCTCACAGAGGACAGGATGCGGGGCGGGTGGTGTGGGGGGTCGTGGTGTACAAGACGGCCAGTGTCTGCCGGGGCCGGCTTTCCTTCCTTCATCATCGGGTCTCAGTCACCTCCTTCCACCTATTGTTCAGCAGCCACTGCTGCTAGGAAGAGCCGACGCTAACTCCCACATCCTCTTAGAACCTCTGTGAATGTCCTGTGGGTTCAGTTCCAAATTGGAGCCTGGAGGTAGGGAAGGGGCTGGCGGTGATGACAGGAGGGGCGGCCATCTGCACTCCAGGACCTAGGCGCACAGGTAGCCCTGCACGGATCCGGTCAGGTAGTGGCGAGAGTGTGGCTTTGCAGATGTGCAGTGTCATTTCACAGCCAGCGTGGAGGTGAACTTTAGTCCCTGAGCTGGGCAGGCCCTCCACCTGCTGTGCAAACACAGCCTCCAGCCCACCCAGCGGCAGCGCGTGGGCCCGCAGGAGTGACCGCACCCTCCCGACAGCGCTGCCAGCAGCCGAGGCCCCTGTCTCAGACCTCACACCTGGTCAGGCCTGGGCTTTTCCATTAATAAAATAAATTTCACACAAACGTCAGATCTGTTAGGAAAATCTCTATCTCTGCCATGTTCCTAGTCGTTGACTGTGGTGTTTGACAGGGTGGGGATACACTAAAGTCGGGAGCAAATAAAAAACGCACCAGCCGCGGCCGGTTGTGTGCAGGGCCACCGGCCCGCCTGCCCCTGGCTCTTCACCCGAGGACCCCGGGGAGGGGCCGGGCGCAGTCTCACGGCGGCTCTCTCATCCTAGGGAGTCGAGGGGCGCGCTGGGCGGCCGGGCCCTCTCACACGACAGCATTTTCATTCCGGAGTCGGGACAGGACCCCGCGAGGCCCGTGCGGGTGTTTTCCCAAGAAAACGTGTGTGACCGGATTAAGGCTCTGCAGGTAAACCCCTTGGCAGCGTCACCTGGTATGTACGGAACATACAAATCGAGATGTTTTTAAGTCCCCGCTTGGTTTATTTGATATATTTTAAAGTACAATTGCGTGCACATCGCAACTTTCCCAAGACACGCCAGGCAGTTACAGCTGGATCGTGACTCGTTTTCAAGGTGACAGCAGAGCTGGCGGCAGACAGGCCTGTCTGCCCAGCGGGGAGATGGACCTCCCAGAACCTCGGCCAGGCGCTGAAACACCTCCCGAATGAATGAATTGGGGCGGGAGGGTTTGTTGATAAAGTCGCTGATGAAAACAAGAGCCAAATGTTCTTTATTCCAATCCAGTTAAAAATACAGTGCAATGTGAAAATGGGGCCGCCACCCGCTCCGGGGGGCCTGCCTGCCAAGCGGGGAGATGACGCCGGCATGAGTTCTGAGGACGACGGGCTGCCCAGGAGCCCCCCAGAGATGTCCCTGCTGCACGACATCGGTCCCGGCACAACCATCAAGGCAAGTACCGGCCTGCGCCCCGCGTGTCCACCGCACCCGCCACGGAGGGCAGCCGGGGCTGCGGTGGTCCCCGTGCGAGGCCCGTGGTGGGTGGCCGGGCTCGGTGCAGCGGGAGGTCTCCCAGCGCAGGTCACTGGCGCCCACAGCTGGCATTTGTTTTCACTCTTTGAGCAGAAATGCAGTCTCGCTAGGCGATAGGGTCTGGGTCGCGTGCTTCACGATGGGAGAGATCTGACACAGTGGGCTCTACCTCGTCTTTCCTGTCGAGCAGATGACCAGACGGGGAGGAAGCACCTTTGTCCCGCTCTCTGTTGGCCTGACACTGGGCTGGAAGGAGAAGGGAGTGGTGAGCATAAGTGACCTAGTCCGGGCGGTGGCATCTGAATGGAGGACAGTGAGAACCGGTCAGGCGGGGGTGGGGGCGGGGACAGGGCGAGGCGTGGTGCTGGTAACAGGGCAGCGGGGAGTTGGCCGGCCGGAGAGGCGGCATGGCCTCCGAGGGCGGGGGAGCTCGTCCTGATGCCGCCCTCCCCTGAGAACCCACGGGGAGGACGGGCCCTGCCTGCTGTGCAAACTGCAGGGCTCCCGGGCCGCCCTTCCACCCAGGCCACATGCTTGTACATGAATGCCCATGTCCCCTGGCACACAGCTTGCTGAGGGCTGGGCAGAGGGGGGCTATTCGTGTTATGCTGGCACCTGGGTCCATCGGTACAGCCACACTCCCCGGAGCACCCTGGGAGCAGCACTGCCGCCTGGGCCAGGGCTTCCCCAGGGAGGGCTCGGGTTTCATCGTGACTCAGAGGCTCAGAGCCTGTGCCCTCTGAACCCCAGGAGCCCTGCAGAGGCTGGGAAGGCAAGCTGCTCGGTGTGTGTGCAGCTGTGGGCGGCCAGAGGGTCGCTGACGACGGGAAGGCTGTGGTGTGGCCCAGGGAACTAGCCCAGCACCCTCAGAGCTCACTCCAGGGGCGCCTGTCCCCACTTGCTCCACACAGGCCTGGGGACAGTAGGCCACCCCCCACGGCTCTCCCACCTGGCGGAGAAGGAAGGGGGGCAGGGGGATGGCTTGCACTGTTACTCGGACTTCAAGTCACCCCCATGACACCTTAAAACACCGGAGGAGAAGTTGACAGGCTTGTGCTGCTTGTTTTAATTATCATGTGACGGACACAACACTGCACCCACAGGTGTGCAGCCTCAGTGTCTCCCCAGCCTCCGTGTCCCCCAGTCTCCGTGTCCCCCAGTCTCCGTGTCCCCCAGCCTCAGTGTCCCCCCAGCCTCCATGTCCCCCCAGACTCAGTGTCCCCCAGCCTCCGTGTCCCCCAGCCTCCGTGCCCCCCAGCCTCCGTGTCCCCCAGCCTCCATGTCCCCCCAGCCTCGGTGTCCCCCAGCCTCCATGTCCCCCCAGCCTCCGTGCCCCCCAGCCTCAGTGTCCCCCAGCCTCCGTGTCCCCCCAGCC